ATATCTCGACATAAGCCAAGAGGCAGATCTTGTGCCACTCCACCTGGTCGTATGAAACTGGCATGCATCCTGGCTCCCGAGACTCTTTCATAGAATTCCAACAATTTCTCCCGCTCCTCAAAAGCCCACAGGAACGGAGTTGATGCTCCCACATCCATAGCATGAGTAGTTAAAGCAAGTGAATGATTTGAAATTCGAGTTATTTCACGGAATAACACTCGTATATATTGAGCTCGTAATGGTACCTCGCAATTCAAAAGTCTCTCTACGGCTGAAGAATGAGCGTGTTCTTGGGCCATCATAGAAACATAGATAGGGTCAAAGACGGAACGAACAACGAAACTTTACGACAGCTTTTTCGTACACGTTCACTTGCATCACATACACAAGTGCTCTCTGAACCGTGCAATAAGGTCACCCATAACACGGCTCTCCCACTTGAGTTACCTTAGCCCCAGGCCATGCTATTCAATGATATTGGAAAAATGGCAGCGTAACGTAACAACTAGTATTGAAAGCTGGTCGCCTTTTGAGGGAGGGAAAGCGTTTCAATAGGAGCCCTACTTCCCCCTTTGCGACCTCATCACTTCAATTGTTGCGCAAACCAATTTCTTTCTTAGTCACCGGGCGGAGCGAACCTTTGGTACTTCAGTAGGGCGAGCTGTTTGATAGTGACTTCTTTCGTTTGGTAGGGCGACGAAAAGGCTACTTCAATCTAGGAAACAGCCGGAAACTCGAGAGGGTCACCTTTGGAAGCGTTCGCCGGTAACCAAAGCGTATCGTTCCCGCGGTACTTTGCTTTTAGCTTTTTTAGGTTATGCAATAGAAGGGAGGCTTAGCTCTGGATCCCCCCTGCTTGCAGAAATGAATGGATCAGAAGGGGGGCTGGGTTCTATTTCCGGGCCCGGGCGGGAGGTTAAGGCCATAAGAGAAGATTTCCCTCCCGGCAAGGAGGAGAGGAAAAAGGCGCTGTCATCTATCTCGACAAGTTTTTCTCCCGGAAATCCAGACCGGCTCAGAGAATCACTGGCGCTATTTAGCCCTTCGTTTCGCCAATAAAACAAAGAAGTCATCCTTGACGATTTCCCATTACTTCCCTGCCGAGCCACCTCTCTTCGCCATTCGAAATACTACCTCTGCCTTCCCTTTCTATAACATACCCAGGCGCCCTCCTTTCCAATCACTAAGAAAAAAGCAATACCAATCAAAGGGTTGGCTTTGGGCGTTGTAAAGCTTCGTCTGTTATTTTTTCGGCCCCAGGGGAGTTTACTCGACCCATTCCCCAGTCTCCCGCACAGCTCAAGTAAGTGAAGTGTGCGACTCCGTATGAGGACCTCCTTCCCTTCTGCCCACTCTCCGTTCACACGGTTCTCAAAGCAGAGGAGGAAGGGTGGGCAGCTGGTACCACGAGCCCTCTGTCCCACACATCTATCCAGAAGCAAGTGTAGTTCACCGGTTCCACCGAATGCTCCTATCTCTCGGCAAAGATCGTGTGAGTGTGCAGTTATGCTTCGGATGCTTCGCCATAGAATAGATCGAAACAGTTCCCGTTCTTTTCCGGTGCACTCGCTTTATATCTCCGACACACAAGGAAGGACGCGGTGGGAAGGAAGCAGCCCTAGCCTCTGTCCGGCCGATCATTCCGCTGGCATCTTGCATTCACGCCTCCGTTTGACTGCCGCTCGGGGATGTAGTTGTAGATACGTTAGTCTTAGTGGGTCGTTGGCTCCACCTGTTATCTCCTTCTACGACATGCTGTTGTCGTCGCCATATTCCATATGTCACTTAGTCATCTCTGCCTCGCCGCGGGTCAGCACCTCCGAAAGAAACGGAGGACTTCATTCAGTGACTCCGCGATCGCCCTCTGAACGATCAAAATAAGGTAAAGCTTGAAGATAAGTTTTGTACTCTATTAATTTCTCAGTCCCTCTAGTCGGGTGGGCGCCGGCCGGTCTTTCGACCAGATCCCCCTAAAAACCGTACGTGCGGGTCTCCCCGCATGCGGCTCACGCCATTCGAGGTGGCCCAGCCCAGCATTCATTCGCAAATCCTGTAGTGAAATTGAGACTGCTCGACCTCGGAAGCTAATTCGCGTGTAGGCAGCGCTGTCTGTCGTACCGTTGACTCTATCTATTCATTTAATTGACTTTCTTACATTTTTTATATAGGCTCGCTCCCTCTTTTTCCATGAATTCATGCACTTCCCTTTACTTCATAGGGCCTTCTTTAATAGGGGAAAAGCCTTCCATTTCCGTCAAATGACCCGGCCTCCCCTGGCTCTTCCACCGTCCGGGCTCCCTTTCCTCCCTATGCTATGCTCCCCCGGCGCAGGCCTACCACGCTTCGCGCCTGCGGCGTTTTCGCCAGACGGTCTTTGCCAGTAGTGCCATCCTCCCCGCTGGCTGTATGGGCGGGTTGTCCCTCGCTGCTGCGTTCTGTTAGGCTATAGATTAAAGGAACAAATGTAGTTGAATGAGACAGCAGGCGGGTTACACGTTCCACTGCGCCGAGATGTGAGGTGCAGGTGGTGATGATCACCCCGGGGTATGCGCTAGCGCCCTTGACAGGCACTCCAGGACCCGCCAACGCTCATGAAAACCCGGGTCGGTCGGTCCTCCATTCATCCGACCGGAGGTGTGGATAACGAGGCCACCTTCACAACCTTCTCCCTTTTGTCCCTATGTTGTAGTAAGGTAGGGCGGTTCGCTTGAGTTGCTCAACCGCCCCTTAGCCCGGTGCTCATGACGCGCTACGGAATCTCCACCGCGCCGGGGGACCAAGCAGGGCATAGCTAGCGGCATAGGAGCCGACTCGGCGTCAGCGGCTTCGTGCCGCACTGGAGTAATCCAATATGTGGTTCCGCACGTTCCACCACTTCTCCGTTCATTTCCAATACTAATCGTGAAACACCATGAGCAGCAGGATGTTGAGGTCCGAAATTCGAAGTGAAATTTTGGATTTGCCTGTTCCTAGTCGTCATGGGAAAGAAAGGCAGAAATAAGAAAGAGATTATTCCCTGAGAGCTTGTCCAGTACTACCAGTACCTGAAATGCATCTCCTTCGCCCGCGCGCGATAGCTCTACCTGGCGTGCCGCCTTGCATGCAAGCGAAGCGCTATTGGCGGCAATAAATAGCTCACTGAACGATGATTGATGCCCTCTGAAAGCTGAAGGAAGGCAGTGACCTCGATTGTTCCAGAGAGAAGGATCATGGCGCCCCAGAACTGTAACATCCAGCAGCAGCATCTCCTTGCGTGCGAGAAACTTCTATGCCAGCCGTTATTCCCGGCTCTGTTATGAAAGAAAGCGGCAGACTCATCTTACAGGTGTTCCCTAATGAGGGATTTTATGAGATTCATTAGGGTTCTCCTTTATCTCCTCCACCCATCCGCGGAGGGTTTCAGTATCCATCTCCGCAGATATTTCCAGATCGCGAGACATAATGTTCTCTGCGGCACTGGAGTGGATTTCTGCCATTTCCGGAAAGTGAACGGACAGCCGCCCTTTCCCCTTCTCAGAATGTTCCCGAACTTGCTCAAGAATCAAAGTGTGAATGGCACTTCGAAGTGCCTCACGTGGGGATCGGCGTGGGAAACTTCCGCCGGTTCTGGAGCCAGCGGGTTCTGAATGACCTCCCTCTCACGGTTAAAAAAGCGGTTCACCATCTCGAAGAAATCCATATCGTCCATCCGAAAAACGTGTCTCAACTACAGCCAACTCCCCTGTTTTTCTATCGAAAAAACAACCCTACACAATTTGTTCTAGAAATGCTAATCAAGTGACACACTGGGGCCATGGGTCATGAAAGAGGTTGACCCCCATCCCCCTTCACTATGTATGGCCAATGAACTCCTCGCTTAGTTCGTTCTTTTCCTTTCCTTCTTTGGGCTCGGGTCGATAGTAGCCGTGGTAGTAATGTCCCGGAGCCCGGCTACCGACCCGAGGCGCCAATCGGGAAAGTCATAAAGGGACGTTAAACGTAATTCTAGAAGGGCGTTACCACAACAAAAAAAAATCCGGCAGTTCAAGTGAAAGTTTATTAGACTAGTCCCACTAAGATGGCGGGGAAACTGACTTCCGAGAGAGCTGCTTTCGCCTCGGTAATTACCTAACGAGAGAGAGCCGATGCCAAAGTCGCCCTTTACGCGAGGGAACGCCGGACAGACTGACCTCTGCTAACTACGTTTTATATAGACTGGAAGCTATAAAGATACTATACTAAGGTATAGTGCTGCTACCAGAGAAGGCTGTTTCATGCTAGGCGTCCAGACCTACTACGCCCGAGCCGCATCCCCGGCACACTTGCTATATCCACTAAGGCTTCATCCCACTTCATCCTACCAACTATACCTGATACAAAGCCGTTCTATAAAAATTCAAGACAACAAGAAAGCAAGAAAACGATAGCGATCGGTTTGGGAGCGTCACGGGGAGGGGGGGAGGAAATAAGTCTTTCAAGGACCCGGCTTCGTGGACGAGAGAGAAAGAATAGAATCAAAGGCATGCCCGACCCGAGCTACTAGGCCAGGGCCTGAGGAGAGGAACTATTTCAAGCAAGGATGCTATGACCTCAGACTTGAGACCGATTCAAAGATATAGGAATGAATGAATCCAATGTCATCTATACCGTTTGGGCTGTCATAATGTGACAGTTTCGACTTCTGTCGTCTCTGTCTATTTCGTTTAGGGAATGGGCTTATTCATTCCGATTTCTGTAAATACTTCTGTGTCAATATCTCCCCCAGCCTCGGTCTAAAAAGCTCATGCCTTCTTGCTTGCTGTGCCCGGTGCGAATCCCGTTCGTTCCTTTCTTTCTTTTCCGGGTCAAGGAGAATCGCTTGGTTGGGTTCTTTGGTTGCTTATTCCACTTCTTTCAGTGGGAGGACTTTCATTCATCAGCAGCAGCAGGTGGGCTTAGGCTCAGTGTTCATCGATTGCTGTGGATTCTGTTTCAGTAGAAGATTCTATTCATGAGGAGTGAGGAGTAGCGATTCGCGTTCTTTCAATAGTAGTTCTCTCTCCCCTTAATCTGGAAGGAAGAGGAATTCGACCCCCAGCAATTGGTCATCATTCCTGGCCGGCTGGTGCTTTTCCCTCCCTTTCAAAAGCTTGATTAGCAAAGTACGATTCTGATTGACCACCAGCTCAGCCTCGATCTACGGGCATTCATCTCCATAGCCCTTTTTCTTTAGCAGTACAGGCCTCCTCCCTTATTGAGAATCTATATGGCTTTGTTCGTCTCTATTATTTGATTTTTCAATAGCCAAAAACTTGAGTTTCAGGTCTGCGAGAGGTCACAATGTACTAGTACTAGGGCTCATGCCCAAATAGGGGCTTTCTTTTCTTTTGCATGCGCCATCCCTATCCCTTCCCGATGAAGCTTCCTTCTAATCTAAATAAAAAAGGCACCTAATGTTTGCCGTCTCCACTGATATTTAAGGCTTTCCAGGAGAGAGAAGGCGAGGGTGGTCGTAGATCAGATAATATTCAAATCAGTTATTAGCTTAGGAGCGTAGCGAAGTTATTCAAAAGGAATTGATAGAGATGAATCCCCTAACTAAACTAGCAATAGTAGTTCTTCATCAATAGGGTAGGTTACGGAAAGCATAAACCTCTTCCTGCTCTTTGTCGATTAGCTTTCGCTGTCCAATCGGTCCTTGCTTCTTACCGAATTCCTATTCCTTCAAAGCTGGCTAGCTTCGACGTTCCATCGAGTTAGCTAGTTAACATTCGATCTCCCACTCAAATCATTCTGTTTTCCTGAAATAGGAATAGGGAAAGGAATGGCTATATGCTTAACTTAGCACAGGGAAGAAGGAAGCAAGAGGACAAAGGGTTGGTAGCACGCTTACGGTCTCATTCCAGTCATTCTGGGCAAGACAGTCGGAAGCGAGCCAAAAGGTCGGCTTTCTTTCTCCTCTTTTTAAGAAGTAGCTGCTACTGTGTGATCATATCCGCTCAAGCAAGCCTGTACCAAACCGGCCAAGCCAGTTCCTCAAGGACGGGAATAGCTAATCTGCAAGGACAGGACAACTAAACTAGTTGACCTCCCGCCCCTCCACCAACGGACTCTCTCATGTTAGATCGACTCAGGTACAGAGTCGATTGCTCTCGCTCGGGATAAGGAAAGGACCCGAAGGCCCACCATTGAATTGACCCGGCCGGCGGGGAAAGTGAAGGGAATCATGGGGCTTTTAGGTATCATAGGGAATCGTTCATGCGATCCATCCATTCTTTATTAATAAGTGGTACGGGGCCCCGTGCATACTCCTTTAAGAGCAAGCATCTCTTGTCAATCGGATAGGAGCCTCCCTAAACTAAGAAAAGGGATTAGCCTCGAAACATGAAACCTTTATTGGAGGAGGAATTGCAAGAGCCTCCCTGGAAGAGCAGGATCAAGATCTGGTGTCGAACAAGCAAGTAGGTGTCACTGTTTAGTAATATGGTTGGTGACTCACTGGGCTTAGTTCTGGTGATCATCCCAGTGAATAAAGATGCTAGACGTGCTGGTGAAATTGATCAGATCGCCTTTGAAATCGATGTTTTCCGTAGTGGTTTGAGGGGTTTGTTCCTCTTCGGACATGCTACATCGGATCGTCTCTATTTATCTTTCTTAGAATTGGAAGAAAAAGATTGAAATGACTGTTCAAAATTGAACCTATACCTTTGAGATTCAAAAAAAATTTCTTATGAAATGTTTAATTATTATTAGCGTTGATAGCTCTCTTCTTTAAAGCTTATGCCGTAGAAGCTGACATCAGGCTATTGGCGTTTTATCTGCATCTTCCCGAACAAGACCCGGAAGGGGTTCGCTTTATTTGGGATGAACTCGCAAGGACTCGACCCGAGGACTTCCCTCGTAGAGTGGCGTCTTTTATAAGACTCTAGTTTCTCAGTGAAACTAAAAAAAAGAGTTTGAGCTCTTTTGGCTTACTTTTAGCCACGCGGGGCGGCTATCCGCATGTGTCCAAAAGTGACGTCCATTTTTTGGTAATGGGTATACTCGAGAGAAAAGTTTTGAATTCGACCTCTCCGGGGTCATAGACTCCTTTTTTGTTTAGGATACCCTTTCTACATTCAATTATTTATTGAGCCTGGTGTGGAATCACTATCATTCATTACACATTCATTGTTGGTTTGGCTGCTGGTCTAGCGATCCTTCCTAGCCGCCGCCTAGAGTGCAGCCTGCCTGCTGAAGACCGTAACGTAAGTAACTCAGTGCTCCATACGGGGGAAATGAAAGCAGAATTCGTTCGGATCCTCACACATGTTCAATCTTTTTTTAGCGGTTTCTCCAGAGATCTTTATCATTAATGCAACTTCCATTTTGCTCATTCATGGAGTTGTATTTAGTACCTCTAAGAAATATGATTATCCGCCGTTAGTCAGTAATGTGGGTTGGCTTGGATTACTTAGTGTTGCGCGCCTAGGAGGGCAGCGCGCTTTGGGATGCGGAGGAGCGCCCAGCCCCCTAACCTAATGCGGCACCGGGTTCGGACCG